GAAAGTCACAGAAACCCAAGTGCTGTCATATCGTCATTCCAATGGATGAGAAACTAAGCATTTGACTTTGTGTTTAAATCCAACTATAATATACTTCACATTTGCCCCATTAGTGGTCTATATGATTACACATATAGACAACAGTTCTATACAAAAGCTTACACCAGGAGCCGTGCATTCAGGATAGCCAAGTTGGTTGGAGTGTGCTGCTGATCACGCCAAGCTTGGAGGTTTGATTGATCCCCATATCGGACAGCTGCATATTCCTGCACTGCAGGGGTTGGACTAAATGATCCTCAGGGTTCCTTCAAACTCTACAATTTTATGATTCTGTGATTCAGAATTGTGGGCCCAATTTTAAGGAACTCCCTTTCCACTAATGTCAGACAGACCCTTACTATTGAACTTCCAGCTTTTTCTTTTCCAGCAGGTATTTTAACAGAACTCTAATACAGTGGTACCTCGGGTTACATATGCTTCAGGTTACATACGCTTCAGGTTACAGACTCTGCTAACCCAGAAATAGTACCTCAGGTTAAGAACTTTGCTTCAGGATGAGAACAGAAATCATGCTCCGGCGGCGCGGCAGCAGCAGGAGGCCCCATTAGCTAAAGTGGTGCTTCAGGTTAAGAACAGTTTCAGGTTAAGAACAGACCTCCGGAACGAATTACCATATTTTTTGCTCTATAAGACTCACTTTTTTCCTCCTAAAAAGTAAGGGGAAATGTGTGTGCGGCTTATGGAGCGAATGCAGGCTGCGCAGCTATCACAGAAGCCAGAACAGCAAGAGGGATTACTGCTTTCACTTTCTTGCTGATCTGGCTTCTGAGATTCAGAATATTTTTTTTCTTGTTTTCCTCCTCCAAAAACTAGGTGCGCCTTGTGGTCTGGTGCATCTTATAGAGCGAAAAATATGGGTAAGTACGTAACCAGAGGTACCACTGTACTTTTAATTTTTCATCTTTACTGTACTGAATTACTTGTTCATCGCTTAGAGCAGGGGTAGGCAACCTAAGACCCATGGGCCACAAGTGGCCCATGGGGGTTGTTTAACCAGCCCACAAGTCACCCCCAAACTGAGCCACCTGCTCAGCGAGTCCCCGCGTGTTGTGCTAAACTGGCGCGGCATGGGGATTCGCTTCCACGGCACTGGAAATCGTGTCTGCGCAAATACAGACACCAGAAATCACAGGCAGACTCATTCACGAACATGCACAATCCAGTCCACAGAGGGATCTCCACTGGAGTGAACCAGCCCAGGCGAGGTAAACCTTGCCAACCCCTGGCTTAGAGATTACTGTGATTAACGGGAATATAAAATGCTGAAATAAAAATAAATAAATATTAAAGACCCCCCAAAATGCATTCAAGAAGAAATATGATCTTCACAATTCCACTAGTTTCAATGGGACTAACTCCAAGGGAAGTGCACATAAGACTGCACCCTTAGTCGACTAGTCTATTTTTAATCTTTGTCTACTAGTTTTTTATTTATTTATATAATCTATCTGAAAGATAGCAACCATACAGGATAGGATAAATAGGGATTGGGTGGGGAATCTTGAAATCACACAAAAATTAGATGGTTTTTATTTTGTAGAAAAAAGCAACAGCAAATCAGGCAGTAACATGATACAGCTTTATCAAGTCAAATAGTGTGTATAGCACAAATTTGTCTTCTACACTGATGATTTTCTAAAATGCCAGTCTGAAAATGGTAGCAGCCCAATATGCAATTAGTTGTTTTAATCGTTCCCATGACAGCTATAGCTCTGGAAGCACCCCCTGCCTTTCCCCTCTTAGGGGAACCGTGCTAATTATGGTCACTGCAGCCATTGCATGGTCTGTGCCAGGAGTGATTGGCAGCCTTGGATACCAGAAATTAAAATAAATATATAGCTTGTTTTACTTTCATAGTCAATTATTGCCCAAATGACTGGGAGAGAAGAACTACATCCCTCCCCCCCCCCCATTACTAACATTACACTAATACATTCCTTAGTGATACTAAAGTTGGTGCTTGTTAAAAAGTTCAAGTAATTGATGATAAAGTCAGCAAGATAAACATTGTTCCACTAACCCCCCAAGAGCATTATACATTTCAAAAACACCAGCTGATGGGAAGGGAAGCTCCATAAACAGTTATAACTACATTGGGCTATCGTATCCCTTTAATTTGCCATTCAGTAATATTTATTCAATATTTAGAAGAAATTGTCTCTGCTTGCCATGGCAGCTCTTCTAGTTGTTGAGGTACTTTTTCGCCTAATTAGCAACTGGGAGACACACTTTTGGCAGCTCTTTCATCCCTATTATTTCCTGTTGCTTGGCACAAAAACCCTGTCAGAAGCAACCACCACTTGTACTGTACCCCTCTTAGTGATGGATCACTAATTTTTAATAAGCCAAGCTACCAAAGAATGGTAAAAAGATGTAAAATGTATTGAACCAACAAGAGTAAACAAATAAAGGAGGCTGTTGCCATAACATGGAGTCCTAGAACTTTTTCTGGGCTCTGCTTCTGGATGGGTTTATCAAGAGTAGCACAATCAGGAAACAATAGCGCTCACATTGATGCAGAAGGAAGAAGCCTGTTTAGACAAGTGTTTTGATTTCTTGTTGACAAATGTATCTATCTTTCTATTTTAAAAAAGGCTACAATAGCAACAGCATTTTTCTTGCAAGAGTTTTGCCTTCACAATGTTCATTAAGTTATCCTACAAATTCCTATCCAGGAAGAATTACCACAGAATCCTAACCCAAGAGGGAGAAAATCTATGCAGCAGTTTACAAATCCCCTAGATACATCAAGCATAATCCTTAGTAGTAGGTTTATTAAGTTGTATTGTTGACCATCATGCTGAAAGCTTGCAAATAGCTGTGGAATCAATACTGGGTTCAGCATCTAGCTGTCTTTCATATCAGTAACATAAAAAATATGCAGTTTTCCATTCTGGTGGCTGCAGGGGACTTTATGTGCCAATGCAGCAACCATGCTGTGCTTATGTGTCAGATTTCAACATCTCTCTCTCTCTCTCTCTTTCATGAAACAACACATGCACATGGAGTGCTGATAGATCCTGCCTTATTAAGCCCACTATGGCTAAACAGGCAATAGTTTTAAGATTTTAAATATGTGGGTATCTCTTTTTTTTAAGTCCAAAGTAGTGCTAATGAAGGATTCTGCAAATACTGACATTCACTCTATAATGCCATCTCGGTGATAACCAGCATATATTTCTATATTATCTCAACAGTGAATCCACTGAAATGAATCGTGCTTATGTTTACATGTTATTAGCCTCACAAAATACTGCAATGTTGCCACTTTAGTACTGACAGAATTCTCCATATTCACGAAACAAATGGCAAACTTAAAGGCTTGGACCAAGAAACTAGACAAAGGATATGGCTGCAAGTTGGTAATTTATAAAACTCAAAAACGTTTGAGGAACGAAATGTGAACAATTGTTTTGGTGATTATTTATTATGAACAGCATATATTATGCATCTTTTGGGAATTGTAAAGAAATAATGGGTTCATTATGCCAATGGAAAGGGCCTTCTGTTCTTGGAAGATCCAATTGTGGATCTAACTCCTGCAAGACAAAATAAATTCCCCCTTCCCCCTACAAAATCCAACACCTCTTCTAACACTGTTCAATAGGGCACGGGTGTGGGAAGGTATATGCAAAAGACACCTTCCCCTTCTGCAGCTGCTCCCAACCCCAGTGGGAGATGCCACCCTATGGGAAATCTGGATCCAAGGCAGAACGAATATTTCTGAATCTGAAGGCAATTCCATTTTTCAATGTGAGCCAACCTTCAACCATTGCTTGAGTCCTATACAAATCAGTAAACAATGCAACCCAAACATATACTTAATTATGTTCGCAAAATAAGCTGACCTGGAATGAGAAAACTAGATAATTGATATATTGACGATTACTCTCTTGTTCAATATTCCTCTGCCTCTAAGGAAACAGCTCGCCACCAAATGTTACAACACACTCCAATAATTGGAATAATAAGACAAACCCAAAGCAAAGTATAAGATGTTAAAAGCAAAACCATCGTATTATTTTGTATAGTATATGGTATAAAGTAGCAGTACTTCTGTGACAGAATAGAGGCCAAGGATTCCATCCAAATTTGCATGTGTGAAATTGTACTTTAATGTTCACTGTACTCTAGCATATTAATTGCTATTCATATATTTAAAAATTACAGTAAAATGTTGTTTCCCTCATGATAGGAAATAGGAATAAAGGGGAAATTTACCGAGTATGCAGAAATTATGTCCAATGTTAAACTAAAGCCAGTTTTACTTGTTAAAAATATATGTATTCAAACAAAAAGCTAACTAGACGATGAAAACAGCATATTAAACACAGAACAAGATGACTTTGAATTAATATACAGCGCTAAAGCTATGCTATAGCATTTCAGTACTGTTTCAGCAAACTCAAAGGCAAAATAGAGACCTCATACATATACTGTATTGTATAATTCAGAACACCAAACATCTAATGTTTTCGTCTATGTAGTCTTTCCATTCCCCATTTCACTACTCATAAGAGCTGAATAGAATAGAGCCATCCAAAATGGAGGTTTCAAAAAGAGCTTGATGCGAACTGAATCAAATTGGAGAGTAAAAACTAGCCTTGGAAATGGCATCAGCAGTTTGGCAACAGAGCTCCTTGCCTAAGAATTGTGTGTGCGCGCACAGGCATGAACACAAATGCATAAATTGGAAATCTGTGGGATTGGTCATATAATACAAGATGCATATAGGAGTTACTCAATATCTGTTCCTTCTAGACTGATGATAAATTGCCTAGCAGGATTTTATACGGCTCTCTGTTAAGAGCCATGAGCTACAGGACAACTTGCTTTTTGTCCCACAGTTTCCCCGTCATAAACTGCCCCCTCGCTTGCCCCGATCCCGTCCAGATCCTCAAACTTCTCTTTAAACTTCCAAGCTCATTATTTTATTTTTTAAAAAGAGGTTTGGGGATTACATGCAAGAGCAAGTCAAAGTGAAGTTGGGGAGGGGCAGCTGCAGGTACACCCTAGCAGTATTTTCTCTTTCATCAACTCTTGCACTTAATTCCCCAATCAATGTATGCTTTTAACTCAGGAATCGATATAGGCAGCAATTGAACTGGGTACATACAAGTCACCCACAGGATCTCCACTTATTGGTGTAGTTTTAATAATTGTTGTACAGTTATTTATTCCTGAACACTTCTTTCATTCACTGCATTTTTCAGAAAGATACTGGATTCCCCCCCAATAACTTATGGAAGACAAAGGCTCTTCAGTCAGAAGATAAAACACCAGCAGGTTTCTACTTCAAATTTAGACTCTGACCTTTTAGTAAGGTTTAAGAACAAAAATTAGACTTAAATTTTATTTTCCGCTGGAATGACAAATAAGAATTTGACAGTACATTTCCATCAGTCAACCGTCAACTATATCAATGATGCTCTTTGGCAACACAGAAAGAAGACATTGTAATGTGTCTTTATGATTAGTGCTGTAATAGTCACTGTAAAAGGAGAATGGTATTTATTTTATTTTCAAGTAGGTCATACTCAGAGTAAACCCACCAAAATCAATCGATTTCAGTTTATCTATTCCGAGTATGACTTATTTGAACATCACACATTAGTTCTCATTTTTTTGCTTTTGAGGGGACGAAAGTATGAGTACTTACTTATTCTCTAGTTGATTCTATTACAATGTATACAAAGCTCATCCAGTGCTATTCAGATGTTGGAAGATGAACAATGTGAAATACTATTTTTGTGTATGATGATGGGTATTACACTCGAGTTATATTTCAACAGTTGTAATATCACTAGAAAGTGGTTTTAAAAATATTTCTCTTTTAAACTCAGCATCTAATTTCTCAATGACTACACATTTAAACAGAAATGGAAGAGAAATGTATACAAAAGGAAATTGTTCTCAAAAGTAAATACATCACTGTCAACCTCTGAAAAATTAGGTTAAAACAATTCCAGAAGTTGAATAAATATATGTTGAATAGCTAACATATAAGGAACTGTTTATTTGGCATTTTAATACAATCTAATAAAAATAAGTAGTAATATGAGCTGAATTTATCATCTTGGATAGTCATAAGTATCTCTAAGTACTGTTCCCGCCTAGTAATAAGAGAATCGCCCCACAATCTATTCTTGTATAGGTTTTACAATACTAATACTACTAATAATAATGATAAAAGTTCCAATACTTTAGCAATGTAATGCATTTTATATTGAGTCATATTTTAACAACCAACAGAGGCCCATAGTTTCATAAACATTAGACACTTACTGATGACAGCAAGATACAAAATAATGAGAGAACAGCTGTCAATTTAGGATCCCAGTCAATAAATAAAAGTCATGATGCAGCCAAGGCGAAGCACTCAAGTCCTGTTGATTACAATGGTAAATATTCAAATACTAGCTTTTCTACTGAAACAGAGCTATGAAAATCACTGGGATTTAGGCTGCAATCTTATACTCACAATGAGTAAGCTTCATTGAACTCAATGGGGCTTACTTTGGGGTAGACAAGAATGGGAATGTGATGTTCAGTATTTAACTTTTGTTGAACTGTGCCTATTCAGTTTGTAAACAAACAAAAAGCATACCTGAAATCCAAGTTAACAAATATTCCTATAAAAGGTTTGGGTCTTAAGAAACGAGAATACTTTGTCAATTTATATTAGAAGCATTATTGCTTATTTTATTTTTCAGTTCAGTATCTCTCTAACATTACATTTCCCCTTACAACAGTGTCCTTGTATGTAACCATGTCTCATCTTTAAGTCATCAAAAGCAAAAAGGTCAGGATTCCTGATGGACTCACTGCATTCATTTGTTTTCTCATCCCAGCATAATCTGGAATATTGAGGGAAAGGACAGAAAGGAACATATTTGCCTGTCTGCCCCTCACATTAGATTAGGCTGTTGTGTCCAGCACAATGACATATCACCATTAAGAATTTGCTTGCTTCCTTGCAAAAGAATAAAATGGGAAAATAATTAGGCAGGTGATATTTTTTCATCCCTCAAGTCGGTACCATCTCCTTTAAAAAGGAAGGCGCATATAGCTATGGCTCACTGGATAGGTTTCCAAGTGAGACGCTGAACTGTATGGGGAGTCCATTTTAAAATACCAAAGGCCTTTCAGGGCCACAATTTTCAGGGTAACACAGTCAAGTAAACCGCATTCAACGACCTACTGAATGCTTTTTCTTTGCACTTTTAATCACAAGAAATTCGCTGACTTTGAGATAGCAGTCCCTCCAGATTGTAGCTGCCAATAAAATTAGCATTTGAAATATTAATATTCCTTATACATAAATAGACTTTCTTAAGAAACTAACACTTCAACCGTATATATCTACTTCAAATAGAGACTGCAATCCCTACAACACTTAAGATAGTGGGACTTTAGAGGAAATATTCATAGGTTCATACCACACAAAGTTAGGTCTTCCCATTTACCCACAAAGACATTTCCCCCCCATACAATAGTATTAATAGTACACAGAGAAATGATGTAGGATTTGGAAATAAAACTACAAGCGTCAAGAATAAAATAAAGTAGACCCCCTCTGCAAACCACTGGGCTGAATATGAGAAACTGCCAAATTCAGTTAAAACTGAAAGCTTTCAACAGCAATAGCATCTCTGAAAGCTAACCTACTTTAAGGCCTGAGTTACACAGTGAAGGAATTAAGTGCAAGGTTCAACTTAAGAATGCACTTAAATTCATTAATTTCAGTGAGACTTGTATCAGGAAAAAACTCGTATCAGATGTTTGCAAGTCAGATCAAGCCCTCTTCATTGCAACAAAACCTACAGTGTTTTGAAGACGATACATGGCGAATTTTACACTTATGCAGTCTCCTTCACAACAACTCTGATAAAGCAATATTTGTGGCAACCAGTCTTAGTGTATCTGATGATTTGATTTTATAACTGTCTAACTCAGAAGTAAACCCCATTAAGTTTAACAGAACTTACTTCCAAGTGTGCATGGGATTGCAGCCCAAGACTATAATCATACACACATTATACTCTACTGAATACAGTTGGATTTACTTCTGTGTAAACATGCATAGGACTGCACTGTCCATTAGATAAGCGCCATTTGGCAAAATATTATATTTCTCAAAATGCATAATTAAAAGTGTACTTTTTTTACTCATGCTTGCACATGCACCAGTGTGGAAATATAATTAGTTTTTATTTATAGGTATACAAATATTCCTAGGTTTAATGCATGTTTGACTTTAAGGTAATTACTTATATAAGCAAGCTGTGTTAACTAGCTTTTGTACATTATGCAGCCTGATATAATCTAGATATTGCAAATGGGGAAACAGTTGTGCAAAACACAGCACTAGGGATCGTAAACCATCTGCAATGTCTGCTTGACACACTAAGTATTTGAAGGATAAAGCCCTAAAACAGAAAATTATTTCTTTATGCAATTTTCGGGAAACATAATACTCATTTGCTTCAGAAGCCTATACTTCACCTCTCAAAGCTGCCCAATCATTGTACAAGGGTTCCAAACAGCATTCAGCTGTTCTGCATACAATTCTTCAATGTACATGTTTTAGCCATAAATATAGCTATAACGTCTGTCGTCCATATATAGTCATTTATAGTCAGAAAGCTATGTACATCATAGTTTTTAGGACAACTTGCCAAATACTTCCTAAAGTAAAATCACCCAACCGTTTTAGAAATGGCTTACAATTACTGTCCTGATTAACCGCTACTATTAACTGATATTAGTTACAATTGTATGTATTCAATTAACTTACATTAGAAAGGAAAACTAGGTACAGTTATTCCAAGATCTGCTTCTCTTTCATGATGAAGAGTTTTACTAAAATATCCAAATACTACTGAAAAAATTATGTCCATCCTTCATATGTATACGCTGACCATATAAAAACTTAAGTGTATCAACTTCTGCCCCATATTGAGGCCCATATATATAGCAAAATGGCTTCTTACTGAAAGTACTTAGTGGTTAAGTCATTTACTGTTCATCTGTTTAATTTGAAGTCTTTTCTCTGATGCTATATATGATGCTTGGATTATATAAAATCTAAATAAATGAGCTTTTTGGGAATATACATGAAACTTCAGAAATTACGCACAAAATATTAAGTGTTCTTTTACGGAAATATTTTGCACTTGAATTACTTCTCAAAAGTTTTTGTGGTTTTCCAAATTTGAAGTACAATACATTAAAAAACAGTATTTTGTTTGTCAAGTGATAGCCATCATCTATCACTCTGCAATTTTTAAGAGTTGCCCAGTTTATTAATTTAAAAACTCATTCTTGTAACCTGTGATGGCATCTTTTAAAAAATAATACCATTATGGGTGCAGTACTTCTTCTTGTTAACTGTGAATTATAAAAATACATGGCAAGTTCTCTTAACTTTTAATATCTTATGAAGCAAGGTTTTTCAGGTTCAGCAGAACAAACAGCGAACATAAAGCATGCAGATATATTAACAATTCCAGAAAAGAAAAGAAACTAATTATATTGCGTTAATTATGAGCTTATAGTGACTGTGAAAGAGCCTTATAGTTTAAAACACTTTCAATAGTACAGTGTTCTAAGCCCTTAGTTTCAGGAATTTATTCCGACATCAACCTTTACCAAGTTCTATAACTCATTACTCCTCTGCTATTTTTTTATCTCCTCTCTTACACACCATTTTATTGGCACAAAAGTTATCATTTAAATGGGCGTTATCCATGTTCACTGGTTTAAACGCTCTAGTTTTGACCCCAATGTTCCATGGATTATTTATAGTGAAGTATTGTACCTACATCACATCTTTAATTAATACCATAACAGGCAGAGAAGCAAACATTTAATAGCATGCTTTGATTTTCGCAAAAGAGCAACATGTGCAAGTCATTTGGTCAAATTCAAAGCAGCAAACATTTCCGTTTCACAACTACAGTAGGCGAATTTGGTTTATTATTTCACCATCTTCAACAAATACACTTCATTTTTAAACTTTTATTCTAAGATGCGACAATCACCCTTAAGAAGAGACATATTGGGAGGGAAAGCTTTCTGCCTGTTGTAACAGTTGACCAGTTTTACTTGTGGCTGCAGTTTTCTCTTTGATATGATGGGAGAGAGGTGGCAGGTTTTGATAACACAACTGTTAATAACTGTCACCAAGAAAATTAAGTAGCAGGAACAGCATTAATTGTCACACACACCACCGCATTAATGTTTGTTTTGCTTGAAGTACCCCACACAAAATTAACACGCCAAACTGTCTACTGAACTCAAGGTACTTAACAAGCAGTTTTTAACTTTGGCACCATATATTCTGAGGCCATTCTCACATACAGAGTAAAACAGACTTTGGCAGGCACCACAGATCTATAAAAAAACATGACCTGCGACAAAAATCAATGTGCTAATCTCAATTCAAGCAGCCAAATCAGCAGCATAGCACAAAGATAACATAAAATAAAATGACCAGAAACTCACTTGAAGTAGCAAGATAGGTTTAGAAGACCTAAGAAAAATTACTTGTCCACTTTAACAATGCAACCCCCTCTCCAACAAAAAAACAACAACTTCTGAAGTACTGAGGTGCCTTATTCATACTGGGGCAGCACTGGGAAAAGATTGTAATTTCTGCTACTGAAAAGCGGGAGATGTGAGCAGCTCAGCAAAACTTCCTAATTCAAAGAAGATCCATCCATGCAATCTTGATGGGAGAGTTTAGAAACAGTAACAAAATAGGTTTTATTTGCACTTACTATATTTATCAAAATGCAAAAGGAACACAGTGAAAGATTGTTTTTACACAATCTTAACTGGATACCTTGTCCTAAATTAGTTTTATTATTAAACATGTCTCCCATAAGAGAACATCCTCTCTCAAGCTCTCAGTATCATCTCCTGATGATGCTAACTCTCTGCATAAAGCAGTCTAGATTCACAGCAGATTTCCTCTGCATTGTGAGAGCATCACCGACCACTGGACTTGAATTTGCTCTGACAGCTTGAGACGCCCTTTTCCATGAGAAACCTGCAAGTCTAGGGATCATCTGGCTGCACTGAAACATTTAAAACTTGGGGGATATCATTACTCAATTAACCCAAGTCAGCTTAAAAGTAAGATTCATGTACTCTTACCCCAGGCAAAGAGATGGAAAGAAGAGTAACTGGAAAGCAAGGGAAGTACTTCTCCTTTACTGACTCTAACCCTGACACAGAACAGGTGCCACATGTGGCTACAGGCAACCACAATCCACAAAAACTAAGTCTAACGAAAACAGAACCACTCTGGCAAAAGTCGTAAGACGCTGAACAAGTTTGAGGTTCTCCCTGTAGACACTTGCAAAAAAAAAAAAAGTTCGCTAGAGTAAAAGGATTAGAATTTCTCTGTTCTGTTAAAAAAAGATCTACCAAAAAAACAACAACCCCTGGTAGCAAGGTACTAAGGGAAACACACACACATATATCACAGGCACACACTTCCTGGGTGTATGAGTTCACCTATTTGCTCTCAGGAGTGATTCACTACAAGTTAAGAGATGCGTGCCTAAGATAAGAGGCGCATTCCTTAGGAACGATCAACAGCCAAGGATTGGAAATCAGCTGCGCTGATGCAACCCAGAAATAACAAGGCGCAGGGCGATGCCTCCGAAACTACAGAGCAGGGAGGAAAAGTTTGTCCCCTTCTTCCAAGCAAGGGTTTCCCCCGCTGGAGGATGCCCAATGGCTGGTGCTTCCAAGGGAAAAGGCAGCCCATCATCTCCTTCCCTTCCTACATCCGATCCTCGAGCGGCCGCTGCCCCGGGTAGCCCGGCCTCCCTGAGAAGCGTCGGCGGGGGCTCGGCCTGAGAGCCGCCTTCGCCCTCCTTACCTGGGGTTGGTGCTGTTCCAGTAGACGGCGTAGCGGTCGGCCACCGTCTTGGAGCTGGGATCCTGGCAGAAGACGCACATCCAGAGCACCAGAAAGAGCAGCGTCAACATCTCCACGTGCAACATCACTCCCGGCCAACGAGACACACACAGACACGGCAGCAGCAGCAGCACAAGGGGGGAACTGGGGGGTGGGGAGAAAGAGAGAGGGGCGAAGGAGACAGACAAGGCGCTCCTTTCTCAAAAGACAGACGGCGACAAGGAGGAGAAAACGAGGGAGGAAGGAGACAAAGCCACACCGGAGTCACAAGACACCAAAAAAACACACACAAAGAGAAGGGCGAGGGGCCGCCAGGAGATTCCCCCGCGGGGGGAAAAGCCTGCGCCGCGGAAGGATCCTCAGGGAGTCTGCGCGCCCCGGCCGGGGGAGCTGGGCAGCAGCAGCAGCAGCAGCAGCAGACGGAGGCTGAGGCGGCGGCAGGAGCTCCTTCAAGGCGGCGAGTCCTGTGGCGAGCCCAGGGCGAGACATGCACCGGCCCGGCCCCCGTCCAGCGCCCACGATGGGCGGCCCCGCGGGCCAAGCCTCCTTTGGCCGGAGGGGTTTCCTTTCGCCCGCCCTCGCGCTTCTTTCCCTCTCTCCTCGTTCTCTCTCTGAGGCGCCTTTCTTCTCCTCCTCCTCCTCCTTCTTCCCGCCTTTTGGCGCGAGGGGCTCTGAAGGGATCGCTCCGAGGCCGGCTGAGGAGAAGCGGGCAGGAAATCCTCGGAGGAAACGGGGCGGCGGGGGGGGGGGAGAGAGGATGAAGAGGAGTGAGGAGAAGTCCACTTCTGAGGCGCCTCTCGCTCGCTGGAGTTGAGGAGTTGAGGCGCCTCGCTCGCCTTCCCGTCTCTTTTTCCCCCCTCTTCCTGGGTGACGGACGACCAACAAGCGAGAGGAATCCACAAGACCCAGTGGGGGTCGGAGGGGGCGGAATGCCGCGCAGGAGTTGGCTAATCCTCAGGATAGGTCAGCGCCGAATCGCCTCAGGAGCGGCTTCCCTCGTTGGGTTGGAAGGGAGGAGGGGGGGCGGCTGAGGGAGAAGGGAAGAGAGCGCGCGCGCCCCTCGCCAACTCCGCCGCTGTTGCTTCGCGGTGCCGGCGCCTCGTCTGTCGGAAGGCAGGAGCTGCTGCTGCCTGAGCCCTCTCCTCACCCCTCCAGGCGAGGCGGCGGCGGCGGTCTCGCTTCCTTTCGGCTTCGCCAAGTGTCTCGGGGAGCCGGGCAAGGTCCAAGTCGCCCCTCGAACGTCAACTTTGCAAAAGAGAAGAGGAGGCGGGAAGAGAAGGAAGAAGCCTCCCTCGCCGACGACTACATTCGGGCGGGAGGCACCTTCGGGGTCTGGCCCGGCAGCAGGCAGCTGCTCTCAGCCGTCTGCAGCAGCAGCAGCCAAGAGAAGCGGGCAAATGTCTCTCTCGCGACTCCGGCGAGCGAAGGAAGCAGAACTCGAACGCAGAAGCAGCAGGGATCGGAAAACGCAACGAGGATTGGAGAAGCAGAAGTCAACAGACTGCCAGAGAGGAGGAGGGGGGGAGAGAGAGAGAATTTACGAGGGGGGGAAACATATTTAAATAGTCACGCCCCCTTTCTTTCTTTTTTGCAACGACCGGCTTCTTCCTCGCGTGTAAATCCGGCGGCGGCGGCGGCAGCCTAGGCAAAGCGAGGCGGTTGGCGGTGCCTGCGCGCAACAGACAGCTGCATCGATGCCTACACGGGATGTGTCCGGAGAGAGAGATATATACACATCCACATGCGTCTGGGTGTCAGGAGACGAATCTGGAGAGAGAGAGAGCCTCCGTTGGTGGAGGTGCGGGGGTGCGCGCCCGCGCGCGCACGGAAGAGGCGCAGTCGGCTAGCTGGGAGCAAAGGCGCTGCTGCTGCTGCTCGATCATGTGGGATTTTTTTTGCATGCAGTTTACTTGCGAGGTTGGCGGGGGGGGGGTGAGTGAGCCGGAGCAGCCAGTCACGGCCCAGGCTGCTGTTTGCTTACAGATGCCTTCTTCCCCGGCGTTCTCTCCAAAGCGATTGGGTTCCGTGCCTCGGAAAGGGGCGTGGCCTCTCCCCGGCGCCCCGCCCCCGCGTTCCAAAGAGACGACACCCCGCGCAAGCCCCGCCTTCTGCAAAACCTGACTAATTGAATTACAAGGAGTGGTTCCCTCGGTGCCGCAGGTAACCGTTTCCGCGCGGGAGACGGCGCATGATCGTACTGGGGGAGAGAGATCTTTTCCTTGCCTGCGAGATCGGGGGAGCGAGTGGTTACGAAAGGCGCCTCCCCAGTTCCAGTGGACGGGGTTGCGGCATCAGCTGCTGGAGGGAGGGTGGATGGTTGCGAGATCAGGGGGGAATCTAGCCACAGGCTGCAAGCCTAATCTCGCACACGGTGTATAATCAACATTTTGAAAGTTTAGCAGTCTGGAAAACAGACTTCGGAGCTGCTTTGTTCCGCTTTTAATCCTCTCTTTCCCCCCCCCCCCACCAATGCTTTTCTGCGCCGCTGAATGACGGGTCGGCGGTGCGGCTTTAAATTAGTTTATTTAAGGGGCTTATAAGCGAGAGATGGGGTTGCCCTGCTTGGGTAGCGCAATTGAAAGCAAGATCAACGCAGCCGGAGAGACCTCTCTGCTAAGTATTTAGCTGAATGCGGCAAAGGGATTCACCTGAAAACCTCTTTTTCCCCCTCTCACATTTATTTGGCTCGAGAGAAGTAGAAGCCAGGGGTCCTTCTGGAGCTATTTTTCATTCTTAAAAGGGCATTCACCTCGCCCTCCGCCAGCAGCTGCCCTGCTTACGCTGCGCTACCGGGAAACTAGCCCAGGTGACCTTCCTCCAGAAGGCAAACGAAAGGGCTGTTTACACACGAATCAGCTTTCGCACCAAACCACACCCTGCTGATGTCCATTTGAGGGGTGATCGCCAGTGGCGATTTTCAACAACCCATGAACAGGTAGTTCCGAGGAAGGCGCGCCGTTGAGCCCCCTTTGAGTTAACCTTTCATCCTCCTAAAACTGAAAAAGTGCGGGGGAGGGAAGAGAGAATGGGGGGGGGGCTTTGGAAGAGAGATGCACATTCTGGTGTCCGGAATCTTTGAGGTTGAGGTTGCCTTCCTTCCTTTGAAACGGCTGGCTTTTAATTTGAGGCGAAATGTTTTCCAAGCATGATGTGGCTGTATCTGCTGTGGTTTCTTCAGCAGATGAACAAAAAAGAAAAAAAAAAACCCCAAGCATCATCATACTCTCTCGTCTTTCATCCGCTTTGGCTCCCTACTCTGTTTTCTCTGGGCTTTTCAGTCGTTTGAAAGTGCCCAGACTCCCTCTAGTGGCAGATTTTAAGGCCGCACTTTTTCCTGCTGGGCATTTCTTAATTCAAACCTACAGGAATTTTCGCGACGCTCACAAAAATCACTTCCGTTTAAATCTATCTGAAGGCTCGGGCTGGGAATCCAAAAAGTTCTTCTCATTCCTGCTTCATCCACTCACCCTCAAACGGTGCAAACAAAAAATATCCCAGGACCACCATGTCTATGCATTTTGTGTTTGCCCTTAATTGCTCCTGGAAAAAATAAAGAAGAAATTTATGTTTCCCTATCATTAAGAAAACTTTTTTGAATTAGGTATAAGCACTACATAGATGTCTGTCTGTGGAAGCATCTCCATTGCTATCACGATAGTTGCATGCTGTGGTGTCAGCAGTTAGGAGGGAGATGGGAACTAAGTATCAAAATAGGTTGCATTATTAGTTCCAAAATATTACTGGCAATGATCATTTCCCTTTTAGGAGTACCTCCTAAAACGTAGCCACAATAATGTCCTGTGCCCACTGCGCCTTTTCTCATAAAAGCACAACAGTTCACAGTTGCACCACAACAACCACTTTCAACATTATATAACAGACACTGCCTGTTTTAAACAGATTGAAGGCAGTCCAAGGCCAAACTGTAGATCCAAACACTACAAAAGAACTTAGCTACAAAGACAATAGTTGATAGTGCACAAGGGCATTTAGTTGCATGTTAAGAAGTGTTTTCCTTTTTTTCATCAATGGGATTGAATCCAAGTTTTGAATGCATGTGCCATGGGGCAAAAATACTGTTAACAGTATTTCGGGGGAGGGCTCAAAGTTCTTGTAATCATTCTGGATTTAAAGCAGGGGGAGTGTGATTTAAAGTGAGAAAACGGACTGCAAGAAAAGTGTCCCGGGTCTATTTTACACTTGTCACTGAATAATGTACAGGTACAGTACAGACAGAATAACTATGGATCAAGTAAGCTTGACTTCTTTCATTTCTTTAAAGAAAAAGTCAATAGTTATTAACGGGACTATTGGATTAGCAAATGTCATAACAAAAGCAATTCATGTGGGTGTATTGACTAAAACATCCAATCCAATGTCAGCTCATCTGATCATAGAATTGTAGAGTTGGGTGTCCCCTCCCTTGGTGACATTAAACAATTATTGATGTCAAAGTTATAGACTATTTGTGCATGCCAATAAACACCTCTGACCTTGGTCTGTAATTAATGGAATCAAAAGATCCATGAAGAAGTGGGTTTTTTAAATTTCCAGGATTCACATCCGTTACGTAATTTGAACTATGCAACCAAATATAACCCAATAGTCATAAGTCTTTCCCCAAAATGCTTATCATCATCATCAGGGAATGTTAACAAATGTTCTGATTCTGTATAAAGCATTAAAAAGAAGAAGAAGCTTGAGACTGGTTATTGCCAGGGAATTTCAGGAATGACACTGAGAATACCTTTAAGTCTGGAATGCATCACCTTTGGCTCGCT